GAGTTCATCCTTATACTCCTTAGGACAAATGTCGATTGCTTTATTATATTGAGCAACGGCCTCGTTATACCTTTCCGTTTTGAAATATACATTTCCTTCCTTCTTATACTTCTGCGCTCTTTGTAAAGGGGTCTAAAACATAAGAATTTGTTTGCATCAGTCATTAAAATATGGGAGAATGTCCTAAATCTGAGCGTGTTCCAAATCGGACCTTTTTAATTTAAATAAATACGATTAAGCAGATTTGCGTACTATTTATAACGTAAAATCCTTATAGGACACCGAACATGTGACAGCAGTTTGGCAGCCTGTCATAACGTTCATAGAATAGACGGAAATATGTATTTTCGATTATCATGCAAAAATTTTTTTTAAAAAAGAATTCTTGTAAATCATTATTTAAAAGATGTTAAAAATTTGAACAGTAATTGATTTAAGATAATTAAAGAGTGTAGAATTCAAAAATATCAAGAGATTACTTTTGCGGTTTATTGTAAAATTTATTTTATCGTTCGAAAGAATCCGTGTCCAAATCAGACCTTTCTTTCGGTATCCAAATCGGACTTATACAAAAAACACTAAAAAGACGAGTAAGTTAGCTAATTCATCGAAGGTTTGCCACAACCTGGTAGTATTGGTGATCGACCGACCAGATCTGGTCTAAGGAACACTAATGCCCATTTCCACCAATGCAGATCAACTTTAATCTCGGTTTAACTTATTGTTCAACTTTTTCTAATTTTTAGAACTAGAAAAGGATGAAGAACAAATTGAACCGAGATTAAAGTTAATCTGCATTGGTAGAAATAGGCATAAATCAATAAAATATCATGTGTTATTAGACTCAGATTGATGGAATTTTTTTTGATTGATTTTAATTCTAATAATATAAACTGTATTTTTATCTTCGAGTTTTAAATTGCTCGTTTTAACTCAAAACTAACAAAAATTAATTAAAATATTTCAAAATTCTATCTAAAAAAGTCCATAAAAATAGGAGAGATCCGATTTAGTACAGGAGTCGTACGTTTTGACCTGGCAATTTTTTGACAGTGCATCGATTAACTTGAAATTTTCACAGTAGGTAGGGAATAGCCTAAGGATCAAAATCTATATTATGCCGTAGGGCGCTTTCACCCCGGGGGTGATTGTCACCCCATCTCGGGGGTGGAAATTTTTTATTACATTTTTACCACAGGAATCGATAGAGAAACTAATTCTAAGCAAAAAGTGTTCTATACATTTTTTTTTTGAAATTAATACTTTTCGAGTTAGTAAGGACCGAAAGTATCAGTTTTTCACAGAAAAAATGACCATTTTGAGTCGGTTATTCGCAGCTAACTCGAAAACGATGCATTTTATCAAAAAAAAGTGTAGAGAGCAAAATTGTAGCTTTTACAAAAACAAAGAAAATGCTTGTTTTATAAATTTCTATATGACCAATAGGAACCAAGCTACGGCTTCTTAAAAGTAAGCTCTTCTTCGTCAAACGCTAAATTTGAGAGTTTCAAAGTCAAATAACGGAAAAAGTATGCATTTTTATAGAAAAACTTATAGAATCTTTTTTAAAGCATATAAAAAGACCTTTCTTTTCCGTTTTTCGAAAAGTCTGTAGCATAAAAATTGAGCGAATTATGATGAAAATAATGTCGGTCCCTACTTTTTTCATCGAAAAAAAAACAGCGAAAACAACCCCTAATTACCACTCAAATTAAAATTAATCGTTGCCCTTTTACAGTTGTCTTTATTTATGTATTATTAATACATTCTATGAGTTTGACCGGTCTAGAATGCTTAATTTTGAAAAAATTGGAGGTAAAAGTGAAAAACGAATTTCTGCAATTTCGTGAAGAATGTCCTTCTCTTCAAAATAAGTCCAAAACTACTGGAGATACGTAAAAAATGCTTCAGTATCAAACTGTAGCTTTTTTAATTCCAAACATTTACTCTTCTTGTACATTTTCTGTACGATAAAAATTAAGTGAGATACGGACGTTGAAAACGTGTATGTATATGCGAGCACTACCTTGCTTACATTTTGTATACTACGCATTAGACAGTTACATACTCACATCCATTCACACTCGAACACATATACCCATACAATATATCTGTGTATGTGTGTATGTACACACCTGCCTATATGTTCCTTTTATTTTTTTTTCTATTTCTATCTATGAAAGCAGTTTTTAAGTATTGCAATATCATAAGGGGTGATTTTTAAGGGTTAAAAAGTTACAAAATGAAATTAGTAATATTTTAAGCAGTAACATTTTAAACTTAAAACGCTGTGATAAATTATTGATTTTTTGAGGGTAAATAATTTTTTTTTTTATTACAACCTTACTAGGGGTTGATTTTTAAGGGTTGAAATATTCTGAAATAATGTTCCACAGCGTCAAACAATTATTATTTAACTCATCTGAACCAAATTTTACTCACCTTAAGCTATATATATATATATAGATTTATAGATTTTGGCAATAAGGGGTAGTTTTCACCCCTAAAAAATGAAAAGCGCCCATCGGCATAATATAGATTTTGATCCTTAGGCTATTCCTTACCTACTGTTACAATTTCAAGTTAATCGATGCACTATCAAAGAATTGCCAGGTTCTGCACTATTCGCAGCTTCGACTCCTGTACTAATTTAGAACTCATAGTTCGGACTGAAAATTGCATTTTGACATTTTCCATTATAGTTCGACACAGGTAAGAGGTACGTCAAAATGGTCTTAAGCAAAAATGAAGAAAATTAAATGATCTTTCGAACGACATCATTAGTTTTATAATCGGACTTTATTTACGTCTTGTTAAAAACAATAACTGCAAATAGGTCCGATTTAAACCACTCTCCCCTATTACCATTCTAATATTTACGGTAAGTTTATAGATAAATATAATGCGCCTTTAGGGAAGATAGTACGAGTTATTTTATTGAAGTTCGGACAAATACGTTTTCGTAATCAATGGAGAACGCTTTCATATAAGGCACAATGATGTCTTAACTTCCGACTCGGCTGCAAGAAAAAGCAATTTGGATGGCCCATCAATATCTATGGAGATATGTTTGTCGGTTACCTCCGCATTCTGTGTATCGATGAATCGAGAGTACGACTGAAGAAAATGTATGATATATGTAATGTGGTCTGTAAAATTTCCATATATATGTATGATATCTACACTATACATGTATAGCATTTCTTTGAATGTACGACAAAATGCTAAAGCCTTCTCAGATAATTTTATTGCTTTCTTCACGTTTCCTCTGAAAAAGAAAAAAAGAATTAAAAATATTTTTATTAAAATTTCATCAGATTCATGTAAGCCACATATATGAATGCAAATAATTCCTTTCAAAAATGACAACGTACAATGTAAGAAATATTTATAATAAAATACATACCGTTTTATTTCGAAAATTCTTAATATTTCAATGCACGTAGTCTTTCCTTCAACAGAACATGTTTCCAATTTTAATGCTTTGTTCATATATTTCTCAATGTCATCAAGATTACAGTTCCACAATATTAAATAAGCAATTGCATAATCTGGATTTTTCTCTATTGCTTTAATAAAATAAGTATCAGCTTTTTGGTACTGTTGAGCATATTTTTCTCTATTGCTTTAATAAAATAAGTATCAGCTTTTTGGTACTGTTGAGCATTGGACATTATCTATAAAAATTGAAAACTATAAATAAAATATTGTAAAATAAATAAAAATGTGTACAATGCAATATTAACGCTTAATCACTATTACTTTTTTTTATTTTAATTTTTTTTCATCCCAGATTATAGGTATATAATTATACGTACCTGAGCATACAAAATATAACAACCTACACATTCAGGAGAATTTGAATACTTATCAAAAGCTTTCTCAATGGCTCTCACAGTTATCTCGGCTAAACATATATCCCTGTTCAACAATGCAAAATAATAATTTGTGTGCAATTTTCGCATGTGTGCCGCGCTGAAGTTTGGATTATATTCAATGGCTGTATCAAAATCGCGCTTAGCTTCGTCAAACCTGTCTATTCGCAAGTATGCCTTAAATGATAAAATGACATTATTACATATATTGTTTCATAGTACGTGATGAATATATACGTGTGCGACAAGAAAATAAGGTTAAATTTAAGTGCATAATATACCAGTCCTCTATGATAATAGATATCACAACAACTTGGATTTATGATAATAGCTAATTCAAAGTCTATGAAAGCCAAATGTTGCAACTTGATTTCTTGATGTAGATTTGCTCTTTTTATCAAGGCGTTTACTCTTATGTCACGAAGTGCATCTTTGCTAGACAAAATCATTTCAAAATCGTTGATTGCAGCATTATAATTCATCCAAAAAAAGTAAAATGTAGCCCGTAACAACAGTACTTCTAGTTTAGATGGAGGTAATGTATCAAAGTTAGAGCTTTCGATGATTTCTGTACACAGCGGTATTATATCTTGGTACTCCTTATTTTTTAACGCTTGTAATGGTTTCTTGAAAAATCTGATAACAAATGCATTAAAAATTGAAAGTCAAAATTACAAAAAACATTCTTTTTGCCTATACTTACTCTGGAATGTTTTCTGGATATTTAAGTCTAGAAAGTATTGGATCTTTACAAAAAGTTTTAATATAATATATTTCGATAATATGCGTGGTTGGCATATAAAACCTTGGGTGTGTTGTACACTCTGGGATGTGTTCCACTAAGAATAATTTTCATTGTAAGTCATATTTTTTATTTTTCAATTCTTATTCTAATTTATTATAAATAGTATTTGTTACTAAATGTTTTCTTAATGTTCTTCAACTCACCAAGTTTATCCAAGATCATTTTTGCCTTTAAAAGTAAAGTTTCATCAGAAAAGTTTTTGTAAATGCAAACAGTAGTGATATCCTTCAAAGCGGCTTCCAAGTCCCCTAATTGCACCAAAATACGTGCCCGACGTAGCAAAGCTTTGATATATCTTGGATTTAGTTCTAACGCTTTTGAACAATCTGCCTTTACAAAATTATATCTTTTCTGCAAATTGCAATTATAGTTGTATAAATAGACTTACACTAATTAATTTTCACAATCAACTTAAATTTTATTTTTATGTTATGCTATTATTAACAGTATCAATCTTTTTACCAATTTCTCATACGCAGCTGCTCTGTTCTGATAAAGTATCGCAAGATCGTCGACGTTCTCTTTTGGACAAATGTCGATTGCTTTATTATATTGAGCAATTGCTTCATTATATTTTCCTGTATTAAAATGTACATTTCCTGCATTTTTATATTTCTGCGTTGTCTGTAAAGGAGTCTACAACAAAAGTTTGCTTGTATTCCAAAAATGCTATTTCTTATCTTGCAGTTTATGATCATTTTATAAGGATATGTCTATAAGGTAGCTAAATACTCTAAAAGATTTTAAGATATAATTTCTCACACAAATTTAAGACAAAAACTTCCATGACTGTACAGGGTGTCTCACAACTACTGCATTTTTTCTTAAAGAACGTATTTTAAGATAATTTTATGAGAAGAATTTAATACAAAAATGTCGAGGCTATAATAATAGTTTTTGAATTCAAATAATTAAGTTTTTAAATTAATCGCAATTAAATTTCATTGATCACAGAACTGATATTTCACGCGCCAGGAGGTATGATGATATGACAAATGGTGATGTACCATATGAGGGCCTCGTTAACATGCAATATTTTTCAGAAAGTTGTTTGAAAAATGTTTGTACATTTTTAATTTTTAAATATATACACCTGTGCGTAATTTATATGTATAATTAATATCGGATCATATCGTAAAATATCAATTAATTCAATAGCAAGATATAAAATATGATATGTATTATCTGTCAAGATAAATTCGTAACTATATATGTTCATTTATCTCGTATGGTAAACATTTGTTATATCCATGGTATAAATACCATGGTTATATCGTCGTGCCTGAGCGCGGGAAATATCAGCTCCTTGATTAATGAAATTATGATTAATTTAAAAATTATCATAGTCTCGAAATTTTTATATTAAAATTCTCATAATAAAATTATCTCAAAAATACGTCTTTTAAAAAAATGAGGTAGTTGTGAGACACCCTGTATATCTGAAACGACTTACAAGGGGAACCCCAAACAAAGCTGGTACCCTTGGATTTAGATACCAATTTTTTTTTTGGTAACTACAGATCAAAAAAATTTATGTTTAGTGGTTTTACCACATAGTCCGTATTACACTATTATTAATATCTAAATTCAAGGGTACCAGCTATAGATCTGGACACAGTGTGCCTTCCAACAAGCGACACGGTGCAACACAGTGATCATCTCATCCTTGTTTAACATTGGCGAACAACAAGGACATACTGATACACTGTGTCACACCGTGTCATCTGTGTCGCATGTTGGAAGGCACCCATAGACAACCTGCGAAACATACAGCTTCTATATAAAAAGTACTCATGGAAACGTCAAAAGAATAAGACAAATATATACTGTAAAAATCTTCATCGATTAGGAAAATCCATTATCGTATGCAAATTAATTATGCATTTAATACAATCTCGAGATGATGATGATGATGATGATGATGATAATAATAATGATAATAATAATGATGATGATAATTATATTAATAATTATAATAATCATTATAATATATAATATATCTATTATAATTGCAATACTTATTTCTAATAATGATTATTATTGCAAGTATTCAGCAGTGCTTGCAGATATTATTTACTGAAGCTTATATTTCGTGATAACAGGCATCTAGGTATATCAATAACACAATTATGTCTACCGAAGATACAGGGGAAGTAAATTATAAATTCATGACACTGACACTTTTTAAGATCTAAAAGACAGTAACAAATATGATATTAAAAAGAATAATGTATGTTTTCTTGTTTATTTCAAATAAATGAATTTTCATGATCTAGTCAGTCTTTCCAGATAAGACAAATGATCTTAACCTCCATCTCAGCCACAGGACAAAACACTTTGGGTGGCCGATTATTACACTTCTTTCTTGTAGATTTATTTTTTCTGCTATGCTTCATCTAAAAATGCAATAAAACAAACTTTCTGTTTACTTAGGATTTGATTTCCTTTTGCAATATAAACGATAACATATGAACACTTTGGAATATTAATAACTTAATAATTTACTTATTATACTATATAATTATACATATATATAATATAGCTTTAAAATTTAATATCTTACTAATAATTTTTTTGTTTTCCTTAATATTTCTCTTATAGATTTTTAATTAATAATTACCTTAACCAATATATACTGCATCTTATATTGATTAAATCAATGATAAAATAATCTATTAGAACTTTTAAAATTTTAAACATGTTTTCTTTCAATCACAATTTAAAGAAAAATATATACCAATAACAGACTATAATATTAAAACTACTTGTATATCTTAATAAAATAGTACAAAACATACATATTGTACAAAAATAGCATGCAAAAATGAAAAAACAAAAAAAAGATTTTTTGTACAATTTGTTTTTATGACAATTTGGCAACATTGCATTATTTTTCTTTTTCTCTTTCCCTGCATGATCTGCTCTTTTCAGCTCACAGTTCAATTTTCTGGAGTGCTATTCTGTAACCTTCTGTATATACCTACAGGTAGTTGTTTTGCATAGCGCGTTTTTATTATGCAAAATATTTGCACAAAATACGTAACAATAACTAAATACTGACAGACATGTACAGAAAATTACAAAATATCACCCCTGCTATTCCACGTGAATATTTGAACTCATATCACATATTTGTGTTCTTTACAAGGCTCAAATGTTTTCTAGCAAAGTTGCTGGATGTTGCTAAATTTATCTGTCACATCGTCATATTACATTTTATTTAATCTGGAATTCTGGAGATACGGTAGTGTCTTGGCGCTAAGCCAAGTCAGGTGCAGCGATATTAATCACTTCAACATTACATATCTTTCCAAAATGGCTGTCGACTTTACTTTTTTGTGTATGACTATTAAAATCATAATTTTTTAAACTATTATAATCTCGTTTCTGAGACAAGTCTATGGTAAGATTTGTATATAGTTCATCAAAGAAGCATCTCTGCCTTATCTGTCATTAATGGCGTCTTCGATCTGACCGGGTTTGCTTTAACTTGGGTTGGATTAATGACATTTCATGCTCTCCTATTGATAGAATGTAAAGTCCATCAATAGCGAAGTACTTTCTAATCCAGATTGGTGCAAACCCGGTTGGGCCAAAAACGCTATAAGTTATACATGAAAAGTTACATTTTTTCTCTCTCTTATTTCATTGTTAACTTACTATAAAATTTTGCACACATCAATTTTTCTCTCTTCCTCGGTATTCCATTTCATTATATATGGCTATGGCAGAGAACGAGACGTAACATGCGTAGTCGTAACGTAAGGTAAGGCAGAGAAAATCGTAGCTGTCGTGGCTGTGGCAGTCACTACTACGGCCTTATTACGTTACGGCTACGCATGTTACGTCTCGTTCTCTGCCATAGTCCTATAACTAAATATTTCAAGATCACTCGATTTACTACAAAACAATCTTAACAAGAACGAAATAATTCACTGTATCTATGTGTCATACTTTATTTTGCTGGAAAATGCCCATTACAGGAAGTCTGAAGCCTATTCTACAATATGTTTTTTGTTTTCTGTTTTTACTTTTTATCTTTTGTTTTATTCTTCTTTCTTTGCAACCATTTTATTGAAAATTATATTTCTTGTTACATATTCGTTTCTTTCAAAGTTCATTAACATTTATCTCGAGCAATAGATAAAAAAACCGATAGAAACCGAACAGACAAGATGTAAAAAAAAAAAGATGAAACAAAAAGCAAATTACCATAAGTGGAACCAAATTATTGAGGATTTTGGTGAAAAAGTAGACCCAGAGAGAGAGAGATGTCGGCGAAAAAGTAACGTTTTTTGCACATTAGACACTTATCTCATTACTTAATGCACTTACCTTCCGCGAAAAAATTTAATACGTACGATTAGATTTTGTCAATGCATTTTTTCAAATCCGTCAAAAATTATAAATGATTTAAAACAGACTAAAACAAGACCAGTACGGTCGAGTGATCTTTCGAAATTTGCGCGTAACTATTAAACGCACGAATATACGCTACCTTGATAATGTTGAATAGGTTGTTTCCGACGTACACAAATCACTTTTCGTAAAAATCGTTCATAAATGAAGATACACTCTCGCGATACAACTACACACACTCAAGCATCAGATTAATCAGTCAAACTGGTCGAACTAATCAGTTTAACAAAAGCGAGTTCATAAATATAGTAATTCCCCTTCTTCTTCTTCCTCGCCAATTGAGATATTGGGCGAGTTCAATGCCTGGTTTATGCTTCGGTCTTAAGGACTTAATCCTAAAATTCAGCCAATAGAGTACAAATTTCGGTTAGAACTGGCAGCTTGATTGGTTGAATTTTAGAATCTTGGGATTAAGACCTGAAGCATAAACCAGGCACAAAACGGCAAAGCGGCTAGGTATGCTTGCCGAGCGATTGAATATAATTGGTTATTACTTATAGATCCAACCAATCATACTCGATCGCTCGGCAAGCGTACCTAGCCGCTTTGTCGTCTTGAACTCGCCCATTGATCGTATCGTAAAGGTTGATTTATACTGGCCGTAAACTGTTAACTTATGCCGTAATCTGTAAAAATTGACCAATCACAGTCGAATGAGAGGGGAATAATCGATTATAATTGGTCAATTTTTACAGATTACAGCATAAGTTAACAGATTACGGCCAGTATAATCCAACCCTAAAGCGGGGAGCACAGACTTTTGCATAACGCATAAACCATATACATAAAGAATTTGATTGGTCCACTGACTCATGCATAAGAAACTGGACCAATGAAATTCCTTATGCACATGCTTTATGCGTTATGCAAAAGTCTGTGCTCCCCGCTTAAGCATCGCAGGTTACAAATTTGTTGCATCAGCCAATCTGATGTATCAATTTAAAGCCGTAATCACACTACGGGTTGCGCGCTCTGTTGAGATTGTGATTACGGTTGAATGTGGAAACTAACCAATCAGAGCAGAGCAGTTCCTGCAACAGAGCGCGCAACCCGTAGTGTGATTACGGCTTAAAGCCGATTCTAAATTAGTTGCAAGCCGATCGTAAGTTTATTGCGACAGCCAATCTGAAGCATTGATTTCAAAATGCAAGTTTGAGATTGGCTGTCGCAAGTTCGCAACGAACTTGCGATCGGCTTGCAACTAATGTAGAACCGGCTTAAAGTGTCACGACGCTTAAGCCTGGTCTACAATAAGTCGGGAGCCGTTGTCGTATGTCGTGCCGTAAGAAATTGGTCAATCACAGTTGAAAACAATCGACCATGATTGGTCAATTTCTTACGGCACAACATACGACAACGGCTCCTGACTTATTGTAGACCAGGCTTTACGATGCTGCGATACGACAAATGTAGAATGGGCTTTATGCTGGATTCACCCTACGGCCGGTATACATAGTCAATTCTTATATTCAAGATCGTTTTAAGTACAGTCTTAAGATGTCACGAACCAATCAAAGGCCGGTATTCATAGTCAGTTCTTATATTCAAGACCGTCTTAAGTTCAGTTTTGAAGAGTTACGAAACAATCAGAGGGCCGCTTTAGCATTTTAAGACATACTTAAGTCAGTCTTGAAATAAGAACCGACTATGAATACCGGCCAAAGGGCTGCATTCGCGTCTTAGGACATACTTAAAGCCCATTCTACATTGGTCGTATCGTAGCATCGTAAGCGTCGTGAGACTTCTAATTGACACATCGGATTGGCTGTTGCAACAAATTGTGACCTGCGACGTCTACGATACGACCAATGTAGAATGGGCTTAAGATAGAGTCTTCAAATAAGAACTGACTATGAATACCAGCCTACATCCTATTTTCGTTGTACAGATATTAAATATAAGAATTATAACCTATCAGAACTGTGTACTGTGGAATGTGCGCTTTCTGACAGGTTAAAATTCTTATATTTAATATCAGTTCCTAATATTTCTCCTATTGTGCGTAGCCTTAGAACGCGATTGGCTTGACTGAACAAACATGGCGGTTCAGACGCGGCGTTGTAAACGCCGAACGGCAATAAACGGAAGCGCATCGCTTTAGCCGTTGCTGTTGGCATGATTCGATGAGTAAACATCAGTGCGTATATCGCTGTATGCGAGACAGTGCGAGAACGTGTGTTTGCGCTGTCGCGGAGCTGATGAGAATCGAATAATCGATTGTATCGTTTTAGGATTTATTGGACCGTTCATGCATTTCGTAGACCGAGTCAAAGTGTCCATTACGTCTCAGTGAATCGGCTGTTCGAAATTCGGAGGACCGAAGCCGTGTTTCGTTGTTGTCGCCGTCATCGTCGTCGGGAGTAGTTGGCGCTCGAACGTTGCCAGAATGGAAATGGTGAAAGATCGTAAACGCAGCGGTGCGAGATGGTGGCGCGTTGCGGTGCGACATTGATTCGGGATCGTTCTTCTGACGTCGTCATCGCCGTTTCGCGGAATTGTCCATCGGCTGACTCGCGCGTGCGGCCAGCCAGCCACGCAGTCGAACAGCGCAATCGATAATCTTGCGAGCGCTTTTTGCGCTGGGCGCGAGATCGTAATGGCGAGAGCGTGGCGTCGATGGACGACAGGCGACATAAGTGGGAGACAGTGGTAAAAAAACAATGCTGAATCTCGCTAACGAGCGCATAAGTGGACTGGACGTTGCAATAGTGACGGAAGCGCGTATCGTCGGAGCTGAGGACCTTTGCATAAAGTATAAGAGAATTCATTGAACAGTCCTTCGTTTCATGAAATGGCAAGACTCTGACTGATTGTTGCGTTCAGCAAAAGAAGCATCTTTGCAACTGTTGTAAGAATCTTTCATATGATTGGTTAAACATTTAGATCCAGCAAGAAAGTAAGAACAGTAATCAATTCTTTTAAAAGGTTTGTTTGTATTACTTGAAAAATCCCTCAGAATTTTTGCATTTTTAAAATGATAAGTTTATATTCTGGCATTGTGTGTGTGTGTGTGTGTGTGTGTGTGTATGTATGTGTGTGTGCGTGCGTGCGTCGTGTGTGTGTTGTGAAGAGAAAGAAAGCGATAATGCTGAGTGCAAAAAGTGCAAACAACGCGAACGGATCTGAAGAATATTGCAACAGTTGTAAACTGCTTTTTTCTACTGAATGCAGTTAGAGTTTTCTTATATTTTATATATTATATATTATGCAAAGATCTGTGCTCCGGCGCGATGCTCCCGCGCGTGTCGATTCGGGATATTGGGGAAGGGTGTAGTCCCGGCGCGCGCTTCTGGCGCGTCAGGTTCTTCTCTCCCTTTTTTTCCTCTCTTCTCACTGCAATGAAATGTTCGATGTTAGCACTTGCCGGGCCACCCGTTTAAAAAAACGTGTAATCTGCATCCGCAAAATTTTAATTCACTGACGTATGATGTTAATAAATAAATGTAGCGAAAGCGGAAAACGAAGCGTATCCGGAATTCTTAGTGTACACACAGAAAAATGTTAACTTATTGCTAAGAAGAGTGATTACTCAATTTACTTTTGTTTTTTAAATTAACGGTTATCTTTATCAAAGAATATTTTTTTGATAAAAATCCTCAAAATACTTGTTACAAAATTTTAGTAAAACATACATTCAAAACAAGAATTTATTTTTTTTTAAGAATACTAAAAAATTAATCGAAAAAACGAACTTTTTTATAATAAATAAGTAAATCAAATTTGTTTTATTTTAAAAAACTTGATTAAAGTATTAAATTTATTAGGATTTAAAATATATTTTAAATACATTTAATTCTTGTGTGTATGCGTGCGCGCGCGCGTGTGTGTGTGTGTGTGTGTGTGTGATGGACTTATGACAGATTTGCAGATGTATGAACTTTTGAAATATTGAAATAAGTAATTATTACTTGTATAAAGTAATCACACACATTATTTGTGTTTTTTTCTGTGTGTATATTTCCTTAAATTAATGAATTGTTAATATTCAATTGAATAAATGACATTTTTGTAATTGGGATTCATAATTTATTAAATCAATCAAACGTATTCAAAATATGTATTCAAAAAGTATTCTGATGTATTCAAAAAGTCACATAAAGTATCCCATCTTGGAACTCGCTGTTCCTGTTTGAAAAAGAGTTGCAATATTTATGGAATTTCGCTCTTTGTCACTGATTTGATATAGCAGTGGGAGGAGACCAAAACTCACATTGTAAAAATAGCATCGCAAAAATTCGGATTGGAGACCGATGAATTCATGCTTTGTCGAGTTTTTTCCGAAGACAAATTTAATCGATAAGATGGAATTTAGAATCACAATATAAACAGGATGATAGATTAGTCTCATTACACATATAAACATATTTTTTTTTATTAATTATAATATTTTTTAACTTATTTACTTATTTTGTAATTTAAAAAGTGAAATATAATTTTAAAGAATTTGATTGCACATTCAAGTTTTTTTTTTTAACTTGAGAGAAAGAATAAATTTTGATTTATATAGCCAAAGTCAACCATAATTTAAGATAAAATTATTTTATTTTTCAGATTTTATCATGAATTAGAAGAAATTGGAAGAAGTAATGCCTCTATATGATTTCAGATTGCTGACAAAGATTTTTTATGTGTACACAAGAATATTATGCATACTCATTATACCTGATTGATACATCACCTTTCAAATATGGATGATGAAGAAGGCGCTTCGAGTTCTGGACCTATGTCTTCATTAAACAGCTTGTTTTCGTTCACCAGTCCTGCAGTGAAAAAATTACTCGGCTGGAAACAAGGTGATGAGGAGGAGAAATGGGCTGAAAAAGCAGTGGATTCGTTAGTGAAGAAACTGAAGAAGCGTAAAGGTGCAATCGAGGAACTGGAACGAGCACTGAGTTGTCCTGGAACACCAAGTAAATGTGTAACGATTCCTAGGAGCTTAGATGGCAGGTTACAGGTTTCACATCGCAAAGGCTTGCCGCATGTGATATACTGTAGAGTCTGGCGCTGGCCGGATCTCCAGTCACATCACGAATTAAAACCACTGGACTTGTGTCAGTTTCCGTTTTCTGCCAAGCAAAAGGAAGTTTGCATCAATCCTTATCATTACAAAAGGGTGGAGAGCCCGGTACTGCCACCGGTGTTGGTTCCTAGACACTCAGAATATGCTCCTGGTCATTCTCTGTTGCCATTTCAGCAATTGGCTGATCCAAGCATGCCGCACAATGTGTCCTATACATCTAGCGGTTTCAACGCCAGTTCTACGAGTGGCGTTAATCCGACGTCACCGATGTCCTCTGTCGGTTCTGTGCCCAGTCCAGGGAGCACGACTTTACCGAATCCTCAGAGTCCATATGGTACCAATGGATTACCAGAGACACCACCGCCAGCATATTCTCCTCCTGAGGATGGCTCTCAAACCGGGCAAACCACGTCCTCGGATTCAGTTCCGATGGATACAAGCACATCAATTGAATCAGCTACACCTGTGTGTTACCAAGAACCACCTTACTGGGCATCGATCGCTTATTACGAACTAAATTGTCGAGTGGGCGAGGTGTTTCACTGTCATTCGCACTCCGTGATTATTGACGGCTTTACAAATCCGAGCAACAACTCCGATCGCTTCTGTCTCGGACAGCTGTCCAATGTAAATCGAAATTCTACAATAGAGAATACGAGGCGGCATATAGGTAAAGGAGTGCATCTTTATTACGTTGGCGGAGAAGTTTATGCCGAATGCCTCTCGGATTCTGCGATATTTGTACAGTCTAGGAATTGTAATCACCATCATGGCTTTCATCCCAGCACAGTTTGTAAAATTCCACCGGGATGTTCATTGAAAATATTTAACAATCAAGAATTTGCCCAACTTCTATCGCAAAGCGTAAATCATGGTTTTGAAGCTGTCTATGAATTAACAAAGATGTGTACGATTAGGTAATTTAATTCACGATGTTTTTATTATTATAATTAGTATAAACAAATTTTAGTAATATGTAACTACATTTACTATTTTTGTTGTCTAGAATGTCTTTCGTGAAGGGATGGGGTGCGGAGTATCACAGACAGGATGTTACTTCGACTCCCTGTTGGATCGAAGCACATTTGCATGGACCTTTGCAATGGTTGGACAAAGTGTTAACGCAAATGGGTCCACCTCACAACGCCATAAGTTCTGTGTCATAAGTAACATGCACGCATTCATAGAAATTTATTTTAAGACAAAAAGACAATTAGTCTCGATGCACTTTTAAGAGTTCAAGTATATGCTATATTTGCCACATACATATGAGAATTATGGAAACTGTGTACGGACAAAATATGGTTATAGTAAGTTGCCCTATGTTATACCTATATTAAAATATCTTGTGAAGAAAAATGATAATGAAATGAACGAGAAATGTAATGTTTGAAAGAGATATAAAAACTCACGAGATGTTATGCAAAAGAAAAATTAAAAATGATGATCTTTGAGAGTTATCGTGATCGCGTACACATTTAGACTATAAAAACTTTTTGGCTGTTATATAAGGACAGAATTATATATTATATA